ATCCAAGAGAAACTCTTTATCTTAAAGGTTGTGAGATCGAGTTCTTATATTACCTAGACTCGTTTACATATTTATACGATAGATCGACAGTTCCGGGCTGTTAAGAGGGTTATAACCGTTAACGGATAAGATTGGAGAACAGTTACAGCTCTATCCGAACTCTGATTATACATTGTCTATGTCTAGTTGCACAGACTATAAGTCTAATTGCACATAATATAAGTCTGATTTCACGGACCTTTAAGTCTGATTGTATATATATACATATATATATATATACACATACATACATGTATATATATACACACATACATACATACATAAATATAGGCACACAAACATAGTTAAACAACGGGGGGAGGAGATGGAACTTGAGAGCAGGGGCGGACTTACCATGTAATAGGTGGGGGAAGGCCCGCATTAAATAATAAAAAAAAAAAAAAAAAATTTCCTAAGGTTAAAAGTTGTCTTTTTACTTTCTACCATGGTTCTCTTCAGTGATTTTTTGTTAGGGCCCCCACCAACTAAAGAAACTATTTTGAACTCAACCAAAAAACTGAAAAGTTCTTCGAAATCGATAAAAAATCCTTCCAAATAATCCAAAAAAACTTCAAAAATCTCTTGGAATGGTGGAATTAGACTAAAAACACATCGGATGACTTTGTGAGCGTTTAAGCTACCTTAAAGGTGCCCTCACTAGACCAAGATCCTGGATCCGCCACTGCTTGAGAGTGCGAGGATGGTGGTGAAGGTTCTCCGATATGGTGGGCATGGGTTCACCGGCCGGAGTAGGATCTGCAATGGTGGCCGGAGTGAAGAAAATCGGGGGTTCATGAGGATAGGAGCACGAGAGATGAAGATGAGGGGGGTTTAATAAAAAAAATAGAATAAATTATATTCTTGATCCCTGTTGTTTACTTGTTTTAATAGAAAATAAAAATAATTAAAATACCCTGAGTTAACACAATCATTTTTAACATTGTTAGCAGAAAATATAAACCACACTGAATAATTATTTTAATTGAACTAGAAGGTACTCGTGCAATACATTGAGATATATCTCGATTTTGATATCTTATTTTATTTTTTATTTATGTCAATATAATACGATTTTATGTGGTTTTGAGAAAGAGATAATGTTTTTATTTTTGAATAAAATATCATAAAAATTTGATAAAACTATATCGATATTAGTATCAAATTAACTATTTAAAAGTTTTTGTTTTGTGTAACTTCTTTAATTTAAATTTTTTATTATAATTTAATTTAACGTAACGAAGTTATTTAATTTATGTTTAATAATATAATTTTTTTAAGATAATAATTAAATATTCTGTTAAAACTTAATGATTACCTTAATTATATTTTAGATTTCCTATATTTAAAATAGATATTTATCATGTATTTGATTATGTTTATATGCAATTAGTTACACGAATTTAAAAATGTAGCTTTAATAAGTTGTACTTACACAAAATTACTTGTAATATTGAATTTTAAGTTATATGCATCAATAAACAGTACTCTATGAATAAAAAATTATTTTTAAGAGTTGTTGTCAAATGCTTTATAATATAGTATAGATAAAAGTTATTGTTTTGTGTAATTTCTTTAATTTAAATTTTTATTATAGTTTAACGTAACGAAGTAATTTAATTTATGTTTAATAATATAATTTTTTTAAAGATAATAATTAAATATTTTGTCAAAACTCAATGATTATATTAATTATATTTTAGATTTTTTATATTTAAAATAGATATTTATCATGTATTTGATTATGTTTATCTGCAATTAGTTGCACGAATTTAAAAATGTAGCTTTAATAAGTTGTACTTACGCAAAATTACTTGTAATATTGAATTTTAAGTAATATGCATCAATAAACAGTACTTTATTCATAAAAAATGGTTTTTAAGAGTTGTTGTCCATGCTTTATAATATGGTATAGATAAAAGTTCTTGTTTTGTGTAATTTTTTTAATTCAAAATTCTTATTATAATTTAATTTAACGTAACGAATTAACTTAATTTATGTTTAACAATGTAATTCTTTTTAAAGATAATAATTATTTTAATTATATTTTAGATTTTCTATATTTAAAATGAATGTTTATAATGTATTTGATCATGTTGATCTGTAGTTAGTTAGACAAATTTAAAAATAGAGCTTTAATAAGTTGTAATTACTCAAAATTACTTGTTGATATTAATGTCAAACTAACTATTTAAAATATCATAAAGAATTGAAAAAAATAATATTGATATTAATGCCAAACTAACTATTTAATTTTGTTTTATGTATTTGTTTAATTCATTTTTTATTTTTTGTTTAATAATATATTTTTTATAAATATAATAATTAAATATTTTGTTACAATTCAATAATTATCCTAATTATATTTTAAACTTTTTATATTTAAAATGAGATGTTTATCCTTTCGATTATGTTTATCTGCAGTTAGTTATACGGATTCAAACATGAAGTTTTAATAAGTTGTACTTACACACAATTTACTTGTAATCTTGAATTTTAAGTAATATGCATCAATAAACAATACTTCATGCGTAAAAAATGGTTTTTAAGAGTTTTTTTTTCTGATGCTTTATAATCTATATCTATATTATATTATAAAACATTTGACAAAAACTCTTAAAAATGATTTTTATGCATGAAGTATTGTTTATTGATGCATAATACTTAAAATTTAAGATTACAAGTAAATTGTGCATAAATACAACTTATTAAAGCTCCATACTTGAATTTGTCTAACTAATTGCAGATAAACATAATCAAATATTGGATAAACATCTCATTTTAAATATAAAAAACTAAAATATAATTAGGTTAATCATTGATAACTAACATAATACTTAGTTATTATCTTTATAAAAAATTATATTATTAAACCTAAATTAAATTTATTTGTTACTAAACCTAAATTATCTATACTATATTATAAATTATTTAACAAAAACTCTTAAAAATAATTTTTTATGCACGAAGTACTGTTTATTGATGCATATTACTTAAATTTTAAGATTACAAGTAATTATGCATAATTACAATTTATTAAAGCTCCATACTTGAATTCGTCTAACTAACTGCAGATACACATAATCAAATATTGGATAAACATCTCATTTTAAATATAAAAAATCTAAAATATAATTAGGATAATCATTGATAATTAACAGAATACTTAATTATTATCTTTATAAAAAATTATATTATTAAACCTAAATTAAATTTTATTGTTACTAAACCTAAATTAAATTATAATTAAAAAATTTTAATTAAAGAAATTACACCAAAACACAAGAACTTTTAAAAAGAATTTAATACTGATCTCGATATTTTTTTTCAAAATTTTAAGATATTTTTAAATTTATATTTTATTCAAAAATAAAAACATTAACAATTTCTCAAAACCACATAAAACCAATGTTTACTTAAAATTTAAGATTACAAGTAAATTATGTAAAAGTGCAACTTGTTAAAACTCGATATTTGAATTCGTATAACTAATTGCGGATAAACACAATCAAATATATGATAAACATCTTATTTTAAAATATAAAAAATCTAAAATATAATTAGGATAATTATCGAGTTCTAACAAAATAATTAATTATTATCTTTATAACAAAATTATATTATTAAACCAAATATAAATTACTTTGTTATTGTATCTAAATTAAATTATAATAAAAATTGAATTAAAAAATTACACAAAAAATGAGGAATTTTGAATAGTTAATTTGATACGAGTATCGATATATTTTTGTTATACATAAAGTACGGTATATTGATGCATATTACTTAAAATTCAAGATTACAAGTAAATTATGCATAAGTATAACTTATTAAAGCTCGATGTTTGAATTCGTATAACCAACTGCGGATAAATATGATCAAATATAGGATAAACATCTCATTTTAAAATATAAAAAATCTAAAATATAATTAGAATAATTATCGAGTTCTAACAAAATAAATAATTATTATCTTTATAAGAAAATTATATTATTAAACCAAATATAAATTACTTCATTATTGTACCTAAACTAAATTATAATAAAAAATTGAATTAAAAAATTACACAAAATAATGAGGAATTTTGAATAGTTAATTTGATACAAATATCGATATATTTTTATCAAATTTTTATGATATCTTCAAACTTATATTTTATTAAAAAAAATGTAATCGTTTTCTCAAAATCACATATGACCATATTATAACATCGACTGAGATAAAGAATAAAATGAAATATTAAAATCAAGATGTATCTCGCTGCATTGTGCGAGTACCCTTCTAGTTATATTATAAAGCATTTGACAAAAACTCTTAAAAATCACTTTTTATGCGTAAAATACTGTTTAATAATATATATTATTTAAAACTCAATATTGCAAGTAGATTGTACGTAAGTACAGCTTATTAAAGTTCCATATCTGAATTCGTGTAATTAACTGCAGATAAGCATAATCAAATACATGATAAACATCTCATTTTAAATATAAAAAATCTAAAAATATAATTAGGATAATCATTGAGTTCTAACAGAATACTTAATTATTATCTTTATAAAATGTTAGTATTATTAAACCAAAAATAAATTATTTTGTTATTAAACTTAAATTAAATTATAATAAAAAAATAAAAGAAATTACATAAAAATAAGAATTTTTAAATAGTTGATTTGATATTAACATTGATATGTTTTTTTTCAAATTTATATTTTATTTAAAAATAATAATATTATTGTTTTTCTTAAAAACACATAAAATCGTACTATAACATCGACAGAAAAAAATAATAAAATAGTACATTAAAATCTAGATATGTTTCTCTATATTGTGTAAGTACTATTCTAGCATAGTATAGATATAGATAACACACAATATAATTTTATACCCACCAAATTTCTAATTTTCTCTCCTTTTTGTTATTTAAAGATTTTAACTTTTTTATTTAATTTCTTTTAGTTTGTAGCGTCTGACGAAGGAAACCAAGGAAAGGAAAGTACAACGATAATTGGTAGGTGCAAATTTGAGGTTCCAATTCGACCATCAACACCAAACAGTTACCCTCCCCTCCAGGTGAGACCTCCATAGTCTTCATCCATCATCACCCTTTCCAATTTCAACAACCCACCATCTCATCTAACCAACATCTTCTCTGGGTTTTGTGTAAATCTCCCCGCTCTTCATCTTACAAAGTCAACCTTACTATTGGATTTCTCAGAAACCCTAATAAGATTTTAAGAATCGTGGAGTTTTCTTTCTCCAAGTTAGGTTTTTTTTTGCTGTTTTCGATCTAAGTCCTCCTCATCCGTATTCCTAGAAAACCTAACAAGATTTCGAGAAATCTGGGGGTCTTCTTTCTCCAAATTAGGGTTTTTACTGTTTTCTGATCTGGGTTTTTGATCCAAGTCAACCTAACAAGATTTCAAGAATCTTTATTGGAGGTTTTATCCTGTTCTGATACGATTTTCTATCTGGATTTTTGATCTACTTTGTCAAAGATGGTGAATTTCAGGAGCATGGAGGAATTCTGGCTTTTCTACATGAATCAACACTCAAAACCAGCAACAAGAAGATGGCATTTTGCTGGCACACTGTCTAGTCTTTTATGCTTGATATATGCACTTGTGTTTAACTGGTGGTTCTTGTTCTGTGTACCTTTATTTGGTTATGGTATGGCTTGGTATAGCCATTTCTATGTGGAAGGAAACATACCTGCAACTTTCGGTCATCCAATATGGTCTCTGTTGTGTGATTGGAGGATGTTTGGTCTTATGCTCACTGGTCAGATGGATAGAGAAATCAAAAGGCTAGGTAAAAGACCCATCTTGCAACCCTATTGATTCCTCTTTTTTCGATTTCGATTTCGATTTCGATTTCAATTTGGTTTAGATACATGTAATAAGGACATATTTGGTTTGCTCCTCTATTTGAATACTCTGCTGTCTTGAGATACAAGTTTGCTTTTTATTGTGTATATATATCAAAGAATCTAGTGTTTGAAGTGAAATTCAGGTCATTTTTTCTCACTGTAAATTGGGCTATTGGCTGTTCGATCATGAATTCGAAGATTTTTCTTCACAAATCCACTTCCCCTGATCTGAAACTTCGAACCGTAGCACTTAACTCCGAATGGTTGGAAACCTTAGTGAACTAGAGGTTAGGTCTGTGTACATCCACCACCCCCGAGCCCCCCTACGGGTGGGAATGGGATATACCGGGCTTGTTTGGCAATACATTTCCTAACCTATGCTAGCCAAGAAGCCTTGGTGTACTGGTTTTGGTCTTCACACTCACAGTATCAAACCTTGAACCTGTAATACTTCACTCCCAACACTTGGAAGCCAAAGATCCTGAGTGCACTAGAGTTGCATTTGATGATATTTAACTACATTCCCAGCCCACGCTAGCCATGAAGCGTTGGAATACCAGTCTCGGTTCTAATTGCTCAACTTCAGGGTCCCATGAGTTTAGAACTTCCCTGTAAACCCTTTTGCTAGCCAAGCAGCATTGTTGCATATGCTTGACGGGATTAAACTGCAGATCATATTGGAGTTCGCAGACTGATGAGAGTATACGAAAGGAGTTGACCCTGGAAAAACGTCCAAGACTTTTGAGGTCAAAGTCGGATTGACTAGTTTTGCAACAGATATACAGAACATGTGAACTTGTCTGCAGATTATGATATGTCACGTTCCATTCAGGAGCTTGCTAAAGCGAACTGAACCCAAGTGTGCTCGACTCATGCTAAGCCAAAAGAAACGAGCCCATTATATCTCATCTAAGATGGGTCCAGGGCGGGTAAAATGTAAGCGGAGACTAGACATTTACACAAAAGAGTAAAGCTGATGTTTCCCAGACTGTTAAATGGTCTAATTGGTTGAACATGGTTAAATTGCAATGCATTTGTGAAAGTCAGCAGTGCCTGCGTTGGTGCCAGAGTGTGTTTCAGTTTTGCTGGCTGAGAGGTTCCCAAATATGGCAGAGAAAAGAGGGCTTATGGTAATTGGGAGGGAGGAATGATAAGGACAGTATGGTAAATTAACACTTTGAGAATAATGCAGACTTGATAATAAGATATGATAACACCAAGAAGAATTAAATTAATAACATTATTTTGTTTACTTTTATAAAACAATTACTTCTTTTCTAGAAAAGTTTCTAGAACACAATTTTTTTCCACTTTCCTCCCTTTTCTTTCCCTTATCGGTAAAAATAGGTTTCAAGAACACCATGTTAGACCTTAGATGCTTCTGAATAAGTCAATAAGTTGTTTTTATAAGCAATTCTAAACATCCCCTTGATATCTTTTAAAATTTCATTACCCCTACCAAGCACTACAATTATGCTAGAGACGCCAAAGATACTCGCCTGCTTGAAAAAGCCTGGCCCATACCAGCCTTAAAAGCCCGATCAGGCCCGGCCTGAGAACGTCCAATCAGGCCTATTTTTACACCCAAAGCCTGTCCCGGACCGAAGACCCTCGGCTACTGAAAACAGGCTTGGTAGGCCCGAGCATTGAGACAACACACATGATTCACCATAGGATATAATCAGTGAATAAATACCAACTGAAAAGTTTATGACAACAGGATCCCAGTAATCATCATATAACAAAAAGAAAATCCTTGTAATCTTCATCTCAAACTACCCTTTCTATTGGGTTTTCCCCAAGAACATTTATTAGAATCAAAATTACGAAATCTTTCCCCGATTGTATTCAAGACGACCCTATGCTTTGAACGAACTTCTTAGCCTGTTCCACAAGCGCGAACGAAACCATATTAGTTTTAAATCAACAAAATGCTTCTTGGAGAACAGATACGGAAACCAAAACCACCTAGCTAGTGAAAAGTGCGTGAAACGGAGAAATACAGATATGCTTACATTTGAAAAGCTAGATATGAGTGAATTACGATAAAACTTAAGTGGAATAGTGAAAGATATACCTGTTCGAGGGTTAGAAACATGATGACATTCCAAGAACCTAAGCGCCCGAAGTTTGGGATAAAGCCTTTGTAGAATGCTAGAGGTCCCTGGTAGCATCAAAATTTTACATGATCTTGGATAAGCAAAGAATATATTATAATCGACGTGTGCTGATGAAATACAGCTATTAGAACGTAAACAAGGTTCTGTAACAGTACATCCGAGTGCCCAAAAAGTAGAGAAGCTGTTTGCGTAGAGTGCGTATGGTATGTGAATGGTTTTTACATATTGCACTACGACTATTTGTGTGTGGAAGAGTAAGATAGAGAGAGAGAGCGCTTACGTCGTTCTTCAAAGTCTTAATGAAACAATCAACGGTGCTTGTGTAACTTGAATCTCCCATCATTCTTGATTTGACCTGCAAAAAAAATGTAACCAACTTAATAAACTAGTATTAGAAGCCAGCAATTACTGTAGTGCAATCCCAGATCCTAAACTGTATGGGATTTACTCGTTTGGTTCAATTTGGACTCGCAAACGCGTTGGTTTTGACTATGTTATGACATACAAGTAAGAAAAGGATAATTTGATGATCAAAATACAAAATGCATAAACCAATGCTGTATCAATTTAGAAGCAAAATAGTTTGCCTGAAATCATGAAAATCACTGGTTCGGTGATGAAGAACGTACCACATCAACAGGGGACCCGATGCAAACTGCGAAAAACCCGGCTCCTAACCCAGATAATAGATGGGTGAGAACATTGTCGGTGAACCCAGGGATCTTCAGAATCGTCTGCATTGTAATATTAAACACCAACACCAGTTTAATTGATTACCTCAATGTATGTTAAAGAACAACCTACCTATTTCACTTCAATTCAAAAACCAAACAAAACCAGTATATCTCATTCATACAGCCGGAGTTACAGCGTTTATTATAGCATTTTGCGCAACATTGGGGCTTTTTCTGTAAAACAATACAGGTGAGAAAAGTAGCGAAGGGATTGTGTGAAAAATAAGCAACCTGCTTCACTTGATCATAACTAGCCAATTCAGCGGCATTTATTATAGCATTTCGCGCAACATTGGGCCCAATGCCGGTCCATAGAGCCCGAACCCCTTCCTGAAAATAGATATGTAATGTTTCATATGATCAAAAAAATTAAATTGACGGACAATCTGGCGAATATTTACCTGTTTCACTATTGTGGAATAAGCATTTAATGCACCGGAGTAACGCCTTGGCACGCCAGCAGGCAGTTTTCCTTCCGCTTGTAGGCGAACCTTCACAAGATCGGTCGGATTTGCTACTGCAATTGCAAGAGCACCTATAGAAATGGCAAGAATTCATCAATGAATAATAGGTATTACAGATAGAATTACGATTACCCATCAAAGATCACTATTGCATACTTGAAGAAAGTTAGTTCCTATTTAGCGTAACAAAGAATTTTGTCTCGTTCAACCTAACAAAGTTTCAAAATTTCCTATTTTGGCCGGTGACAATTGATGACGTGGATGTCATGTTTACCGGATTAGCACTTTAATAGTCAAAATGGATACAAAATAGAAAATATTGAAACTTTGTAACATCGATTGAGAAAAGAAATTATTTGGTCCAATATAGAAATCCATTACATATTCTCACCCGTTGTGAGCCCGGCAAGTATTTTAGTGGTCAAAGGAACATCTCCAACGAAGTTATCGCCCACATACAAGTTCTTAATCTGTTAAGCACACAAGAACACACGATTCTTTCAAAAACCGAATAAGAGCAGAAGAAAGCATAATTGAAAGAAACTTACGGGTTCATATAGCCCGATTCTTAAACCTCCATACAAGCATTGCCGATGTAATCCGGGTACAATGCCTTTCCACAAAGAAGCAAGACCTTCTTCCCTTGCAATGGTTGCTACAGTTCCCAACATTCCCCTATACTTAGGTAAACCCATTCCATCTCCTGCAATTCCTTTCTTTTGCAATTGTAACCTCACTTTTGCAGTGTCCAACGGAATCGTGCAAATCTATACAAAACTTATATCAATTTGCCGTGTATAAATATTATATACTTCATGCCTTCCACTTCTCAATTCCCTTCCCCCCCCCCCCCCTTTTCGGCGATGGTCCATCAGAAAAAGGGGAAAATAAAGAGAAAAGAACGATAAAATGAGAAGAAAGAAAACCACCATTACGAACTTGTGATCATGAAGCTCCAATAATCATTTATGGGCAGGGGTTCCTTGCACCCGCTCGGCCAATTTTCCCATATAGAATTTTTTTTGGGGTATGAAAGGTGCACCCTTTAAACTTTAAGCGGTGATATGGGATATTAGAAAATACAAGGACCATCAACCGAAAAAAAGAAAAAGTCCGTCGAAATCAACCAAAAACTTAAAAAATCCCTATTGGACGACTTTGCGGAATTTGATCCACCTTAAAGGTACAACTGCGTGGCAAAAAATTTGGGTCTGCTGTTTACTGGTTATATCCAAATGCAAACAGACAGTTCAATTTTTGAAATCATCTGAAAATTTCATTCAAGAATGAGATTAGGATGGTTATAGAAACCAACAATATTCACTTCAAACTCTAAATAGGAACTGAACCCAAATTCAGAAGATCATTTCCAAACAAGTATCAACATGCGATTAGAGTAGAAATGCCGTGGAAATTAATCAATTGCACAAACATCCTTAAAGCATCACTCGAAAAGCAGTAACATTGATCAAATGACAGTTGTAAGGATTCAGTCACTAAACGGGGGTGTTTGAGATTGCTTATAAAAACAACTTATTGACTTATTCCGGTGTGGTATGATAATAAAATAAGCACTCTTGATTTGGATAAACATCTTATATCGATGCTAAACCGGTAGTAAGGAATTTTTGAAGAAGTTAAACTCTTCCGAATTATAATAAGTTGATAAGTGCTTTTGTATAAAAGCATAAACAAAACTGAGAGGAATTCTAAACAGCTAGCAATCAGAACGAAAAACGATCAAAAACAAAGTTGAAAAAAATTTGAAATGGGCATCACACAAATCAAATCATCAATCTCAAAGTAGCAATCCTGATCAATTGAAATGTATCAAAAATTGAACCACTTTGCAATTCTAAACAACAGATCAGCACGAAATTGATCAGAACAAAGAAAAACTGGATCAAAATAGCAATCTTGATCGATTAACTGTAGTAAGAAAATTCAATCAGTTTGCAAATAGAAGAGGAATATATCCAAGAGCAATTCCGATTACCCAAAAAGCGATGAAAACAAAAAACGAAAAGGGATGAACACATGATAGCTGTAAGACTGAAAGAATTACCTCAGCGAAGCAAGCAGCAAAGGCACTACTAGCAAAAATACCGGCGAAAGAGATGTCGGACTTGGAATTACCAGCCACCATTGTCGAGGATCAAAGGAGATGCAGGAATAAAGTAGGGTTTAAAGGGTAAAGGTTTTTATAAGACTTTGTAGGAAAAGATGGCGTCTTTATTGCACGATTTATACTTGGGAAAAAGGGTCACAAAGAAATCGATGTCTTACATTTGGAAAGAAATAGAAAGAGGCACGACACTCTTCTTCTGATCTTTGGACAACCACCGGAAAAAGCTGTTCACTACTGGTTCGTTTTTATTACAATAAGTGAATTACATTTTTAGTCCTTCTGGTTTATTGAAAACTAATATTCTTATTTATGTGATTTTAAAATTACAATTATCGTACACGGGTTGGGTTCATATGAGATCAAAGATTTTTTATGAGACCTGTAAGATCAGTTTATGTTCATTGCTCAACTTTATAAGCTAATGATCTAATGGTCTAAAATTGTATGGTGGCAATTTTGTGATTATTGAGAAGTCTTGTGGCAATTTTGTGATTATGAATGTTCAGATTGTAGATCTAATCCAATGATTGAGAATTAATCTTACGGGTCTTATGAAAAACCTTTGGTCTCACATGATCCCAAGTCTATCGTACAATATGGGTCAAAAACATAACTTTGAAACCATAACAATAAAATTAGCAATTTACCATGATTAACAAACCACCCTCATAATATTTTTGTTTTAAGACCATAATAAAGATACAATTATATAAGGCTATGTTTGGCAAACTATCTAATAACTTAGCTGATAGTTGATAAATTAACTGATAAATAAATTATGTTTAGTAAAAACTAGTTGATAAACATGTAAAATGATTAAAAATGATATCTTGAAAAATTAGTTAATTATAATATTTTATAATATAATTAAAAGAAATAATTGATATTAAAATTGATTGCTAATTTTCAACTAATATTAATTACTATTAATTAATATTTTTAAATATTAGTAATAATTAATTTTTATTTTTATTAATTATTATTTGTTCGTATTTAATATAAATAAAATTAATTATTAATGAGAGTTAAAATTAGAAAAAGTGAATGAAAATGAGTTGGCTTATGTTTATCCAAACGTGTAGCCAAAAAATAAGCTAGCATATTTTGCCAACAATGCTTAAATGAGTTTAATCTTTTGAAAACTTCATATATTGTGATAATCGTAAAATTTTATTCTAACGTATTGTTTTACATGATTTTTTTCTCATCTAAAGGCTAACACTTAACGTATTGATGGACATATATTTATTTCGCAATATGTTTGCATCATACGTATATGGTTCACAATATGAAACTTTTATATGTAAATTTTGTTTCACGAATATGCTAAAAAAATTCACATTATGAAACAAGTACATGTAAAAACAAACACATTGTGAAACAAATATATGTTAATTGATATTTTAAATTGTAGTTTTTTGATAAAAAAATGATATAAAATAACACATGATGCGTTAATTCTTAAAATTGTCACAATTTCATTAGTTATTAGAAAAAGCCCTGATTATATAAAAATCCTTAAAAAGTATCTCAAATAAATTATTTAATACCAAAATATTTATAAAAAGGGAGGCTAATGGCACCCTATACTTTACTTATAACACCCCTATCCCCTGATATAATCATTTCTTTCTTGTATTTTTTTTTGTGATTTTGTCTTTTTGTTGTCTTTTCTTTTTTATACTAATTTTCTTTTACTTATTTTATTTAATTATAAATATAATACTATTACAAATATTATTTATTATTCTCTAAAAAATTATTATTAAAAAATATTATTTTTATCATAATTTC